GGGGGCAGACGAAGCCCGTGTTCCACAAGAAGGCGAAGACGACCAAGAAGATCGTGCTGAAGTTCGAGTGCACGAAGTGCAAGGCCAAGCGCATGAAGCCGATCAAGCGCACGAAGCACTTCGAGCTGGGCACCGACTCCAAGAAGGGCAAGAACGAGTACGGCAGCAAGTACCGCTGAGAGCGCTCTGCGCTGGCGGGCCCCCCCAGCGGCTCTTGGCAGCGTGCCTGGCGGTGCCGCTGCTGGCGCTCGGCGCAACATCTGCGAACGCGGGCGCACCATTACCCAGACCCCCTCGAGTTATGACAAAAATCACGACGGGAGGTTTTTCGCTATTTTTGGCCTCTGGGGGCCCTTACCGGCCCTCGGGACCGTCAAAAAACGACTCAGGACGAAGAACCGGTCCCGGGGAAAGGGTCCAGACCGCTGGGGGTCGACGTCATGAAACATTCATTACGTCGGGGGTCTGGGTACCCTGGCGGCTCCAGTCGACGCTGGAGTACTCCAGAGAGAAGGGGAAGGTTCCGACACCGCTGCCGGTGCCTCGTTGTCGCCGTTCTGGGCCTCCTGGGTGGCACCCCTCGTCGCCGCGGCTGGATGCGCCGTGAGATCTCAGTCCGAACCCAACCCAGGAGAGGTTCAGGGAGTCGCGGTATCGGTACCTTTTGCCCCCTCAGGGGTATCGGACACCCACGCTGGGGTTCCGTTGACTGCAGACATCGAATTCTGAGCCCCAGCTGGTTTTCAGTAATCTGGCCTACCGGGGTAGGGCTCACATGTTTGTCGATGGAAGGCAGGGGCCCAGGAGGTGTCAAGGGAGAAGACCATGTTCGAGAAAAGAAGCTGTCAATGGAACGCTCCTTGGCATCGCTGAAAGAGGGTCAAGAAACTGTCAGGGAGCATCCCTGCATCCTGGCAGCCGTTGAACACTGCTGCATGCTGGGCATTTCGATTTGCCACGCCAGGGGTGAGAGCTCCGCGCGGAAAGATGACTGCCCTCCACGTGTGCAGCGCTGCTGCACATGTGCTGAGCCGCTTGCTGCTGTGGTTGCTGCGATGCGGCCGTGGGCTCGTGCTCAGCGTGTCCCGCCTGCGGTTTGGGCCCACCACGCCGCGGCGCCGACGCGAGGAACCACTGCCTGGCACCCGCGCCACAGCGCCCGCAGCTCGCCGGGCACGGCGTGCCGCCGGGGCCGCCGCCGCGCCACGCTGCTCGAAGCTGCCGACCGTGTGCGGTACGAATGGAGGGCTTCTCCGAAGGGCTTAGGCGACCCCTCCTCCTCCTCCTCCTCCTCCTCCTCCTCCTCCTCCTCCTCCTCCTCCTCCTCCTCCTCCTCCTCCTCCTCCTCCTCCTCCCTCCTCCTCCTCCTCCTCCTCCTCCTCCTCCTCCTCCATCTCCTCCTCCTCCACCTCCTCCTCCTCCTCCTCGGGTCGCCTACGGCCCCGAGGGAAGCCGTGCAGGTACGAAGAGATATCCAGCGAGAACCCCATGTGACCCCTGCAGGCTCTGAAGACTGAGTGCGACGCCAGGGCGGGGACCACCCTGGTGATGCGACGAGGGCGAGCTACCCGCAAGGACGAGGGATGGACGAGGGGGAGGAGGGGGAGGGGGAGCAGAGGTATGGGATGAGGACAGTGGGGATGGTGCTGAAGGACGCAGTGCCCTGCCCAGTGTGGGGACATGCGTGAACAAGGCGCGGCCCCAGAACGCAGCTGGGCGAGGCACGAATCGAGGAGGGGAAGGGGGGCGATTCCATGGAGGAGGAGGAGGAGGAGGAGGAGGAGGAGGAGGAGGAGGACGGGATGAGAGGAAGTTGCTAAGGGACACGCGTTCGGGACGAAGTCGGAAGCCACCAGCCTTAGTCTGAAGAGGAGTAGGACTCACCGATGAGGAGGAGGAGGAGGAGGAGGAGGAGAAGGAGGTGGAACAGGAGGAGGAGGAGGAGGAGGATCAGGAAGAGGGGAGGGAGGAGGAGGAAGAGGAGGAGGGGGACGATTCAATGAGGACGGGGACGATTGAATGAGGAGGATAATGAGAAGGACCTGTGTAAACCCAAGTCGCATCAATGATGTTGCAATCAATCCCCATTCCAATTTTCCTTTTTTTTGGTCCCTGCAATATTGGTTTTCACTGCTGGCAGTGCCCCTTTGGACGACAACCATCTGAGAATTCTCAGTCGTGCCAAAACACCTATCTGTGGATTTTAACGCCGCGAATCAAGGTGACTTTTAAGTAATGACGATCGAACCTGCATCTTGCCAGGACACCGTTCCTGGCACGGCAACCATAGCAGTCATGAGTCGGTCGTTACGTTTCAGGGCGAGTGTGCCCGGCGCTGAGGCAAACACCACATTTCGAAAAGGGCCCGCTCGTGAGAACTTGTCAGACGGCAGACCATTCCGCGGACCTTGCCACCGTGAATTCACGTGGTTGTTGGGCTCTTAAATTCTTACCCGAACATCAGCGTCTGGAATCATCGTCATCCGTTAAATTGTTGACG